TAAATATAAAACGTAAAACGACGTTTCGGAGATGGGACTCTATCTCCGTCTTCAGGTTCCTACACAGTTGGGCCCACTAGATAGAGCTAATCCCTATCTACGTTTTTACGTTTTATATTTACTAGACGATGGATAATATCCAAGTAAATTTTTATTCAATTGATTAATAATAATATTGAAAATTTTTATAGGTTGTGAAAAATCCGAAACGAGGTTCATCAATGTGCACTTGGACATAACAGATAAACTACTGGTCGCATGTTGTTCATTTGTAAACTGTTGTTGAGAACTTTGGAGCAGTTGCTTTCAGACGTCAGGAAACACAAGCTTCATTTGTAATCTCGTGCAACATTATCACTGAATCTGAGGTAATAACGAGGTGTTTTGGGCTAATTAAAATGTTTGTGAGGATGGCTGAGGCGTGGTAGAAACAAGAAATGGAAACAAAGTTTTTTTTTGGGGGGGGGGGAATTTGGAAAGAAACAGTGTGATGGTGTTGATTGGTTTAATCTTGTTCTGGATACGGTGCAGTGCCGGGTTGTTGTAAATAGCGATATCCATCTTCCGATTCTGTTAAAGGAATTCCTTGGCCTTCGTCATTTCATGAAGGATTCTGCCAAATTCGTTATTTAGAAATTGTTACAGTTCTATATAATCAAAAATTGCGTTGTCGAATGGCGCAAGTCAAGAGAAAGAACTGTAATAGTGAGCAACATCAGAATTAGAACACCCTGTACCATGCTGAGTTTACTGGAGTATGGAATATAATGACTTGAATTTCAATCGTTATCTATACATAGACATAATGCACATTTTCAGAGTAGAAGTTTTCAAATACGAACGCGTAATTTATTGCAGGGAACATCGATTTTCCTTTCTTGTAACTAAGAATCAGATGTTAAAACTTCGGACTGAATGTTATTTATTTTTTGTGACTTCGGGCGTTATTTATCAAAATGCTTACTGCCGTCTTTCGTATAATCTTATTTTTTTTTAGTAAATTTTATATCAGCTGCGGAGGTTAATAGTTTACATAAATTTTGAGATGGCTATGAATTGTCAGTATAAAGAATTATTAGACGATTAAGTTTTAAGTTTATATAATTTTAATTTTTATACACCTGAAGATGGTTCATTTAAGAACCGAAACATGTCGTAGGAAAAAGATGTTCTAAATGTAAATCGAATGTTTCGATAAGGAACATCACATGATATTTTAATTATCTTAATTTTAAATTTTAAATTGTGATTAGACGGACAAGAATAATTAATTAAAAAAAAATTATTAGAATAAAAATGTGACCCCGGAATTAGCTGTCCCTTGGTTTACTTACTTGTTTCTTGCTTAGTCTTTGAATACTTTCCTTTAAAAGCCATCACTTATGTTTATATTATAAAAGTCTTTGTGTGTGTTTGATGATTGAGTTGTCCAGACAATCGGCAGACGTATGGCAATCCCACAGAGAGCTTTGTCGTACTAGTGTGCCGTGCATACGGAAGCCGATTACGCAAACTGCAGTTCATTTGTTTTTTGACGTGTACGACTTGTGAGTGACGAGAAGACAAATGTCAGGTCAGAGGGCATTGTCCTGTGACTGAACTGGCTCTACGCCAGATCCCGTGTTCGTTGTCTTGTCCGGGCGAAACTCTCGGCCTTTAGCTACTAACTAACAGAGCAAGTAACTTTGTGAAACAGAATACTTTCTGAGAAGCTGAAAGTCGCCTAGCTGTTCATTAGATTTCATCGCCTTTCATGATACCCTGTGAACCGTGTCCGTGTTTACAGAGTGAGATCTCTCATCTCTTCAATGCGTGTTACTTTCCCAGCCAATCTCTTAATCTCTGATCTGAATATCGTGTTGAAATTTAGTTACAAGCAGAAATCTCCTTCCTATGACAGGCGTCAGACAGAACACGAAATAATAATAAGATGAGGTGGTCTAGCGGTTAGAACGCTGGCCTTGTAATCCTGGGGGTCTCGGGTTCGATTCCCGGCGGTGCCCGAATTTATAACTTGTGTTGGGCAAGGCCGTGGTCTAGGCAACACGGAGTTTTCCTCCGTGGCATCCCAACAATTACTCCATTCACACACAGAAGAAGGCAATGGCAAACCACTTCTGGATCATCTGCCAAGAACGTATATGAACAGGTCCCAGTCCGAGAAAAGGATGGAAGGATCCTGTTCATATGGACCTGTCGTCAGACAGAACACTACAAATAAAAAAAATATGACAGGCGTAGGAAACTGTTCCGTGTTGAATTCCATTGAAAGGATTCGCGTTTTACTATTTGGACACTGAGATTTCTTTTGAAGCAAAGACGTAGACCTCCTTCCTAAATCTTGTCTGAATCGTTTCTACTCACAGATGAAGTCAATACTCAATCCTTGTTAGCATGAACATCTACCACACTTTAAGCAATTAGATTCAGGAAATAAATTATGAAATTAAAAATGAAAATTAAACACTTCAGTATTTTGTACATTATCAGGTGAGCGTACAGTCTGATGTAGATGAGCTCAGGATTATGAAATTGGAAAACAGTAGAATTTCAGTATCCGTTAAACAAATGTGAATTTTCTGAATAAAGAAACGCACCCAAATTTATGCCCTCATCGAAGATAAACTTTTAGAACAATTTTCACTCTTCCGTTTCTTTGAGATGCATATTTTTAATATTAACTTCTCATTTAAATATGGCATTTATACAAATTTATCGGCTGTTAAGCGAGAACTTTCCTTTCCTTCTTACCGAGTCTTGAGTCCCTGTGTAACATTTCGTAAGACGCTAGATTTTATTACGTTGAGGATTTGTAGCCAGCGCCTGACATCTGAGGTGGGGAAACAGCATTTCGTCAACTGTTTACTACTGTTTATTCGGTATATTTTGAAGTTCTTTACATGTCTGGAGGTCGTATGCTCCGCTCAGAATCTGGAGACGCGCCGTGCCCGGATAAGGGTCCCACTTAACATGGATTTTGCGACTAAGTTAAACTCTGTAATAGGATTAACGGGCTAAATATTCTTAGAATGCAATGTCTGTTATGTAGTACGCAGTACTTGCCTAGCAGCGATGCGAAGACCATAACGAAGCATGTCCCCAGGTAGACGTCGATGGATTTCACATAGGAGATCTTGGGCAGAGCAGCGTTGGTGGATGACATGAGGGTTGTCATCGTGAGCACTGTGGTGACTCCCAGAGCTACCCTGGCGGGTGTCGCGTTCCGGTTCAGCCAGAAACTGACCCACGAGATGATGACGATCAGTCCAGATGGGATGTAGATCTGGATGAGGTAGTAGCCCATGGAACGAACGAACTGGATCTCGCATGCCAGACGAGAGTAATTTCCTATTCACGAGACACAGTAACACGATTAAAGCAACAAGTCTTAATCTCATGATATTTGAGGTTCTCGCGGCTGTAAATATGTCGATGTTGGTCTTACGAGTTATAACGTCACGCTGATTTCTAGGAAGATACCAGCTATTCGAAGGAACATGCTGTCTCCAACCCTGAAGGTAGAGGCAGATTGTTCCCCAGAATTATTGGTATTTACCTACACGTCTGCACGGCGCTACAATCCAGAAGACGCCATCGATCGAAAGCTTAATTATGGACAAGATTTTGATATCGTAGGTCTTTATCGATGTTAACTAGGTATGATTTTAGAAGTACACGAATGTACATTATGCGGTAAATATAAGACGTTGATAGTAATCGATATATCTGGAATATGGATATAATTCGTTTTAAAATATCGAAGTGTGCTGGTATCGCGTGTAGCACGGAATTCTTCATTATCTTCGTAGTTTGTTTCAAAATGTATTCGACTTGTGACATCGCAAAGATTTTTGCGAGACGTGTCTTGAAGTACGTTGCAGTAACCTGGGTACGAAATGGAGCAGATGACTTGGTTTGAGCGAGTCTGAGTCTGATCACCATCGCTGATTAGGGGGGCGAGGATTATGCAATGGTATAATTGTAAAAGTGTTATAGAAAATTTTTTCAGAAAACAACGTATCTCTGTAGGAACAGATTAAAAGTAATTTTGTATCGATCTGTTAGTTCACAGAAGGAAGATGAAACGTACAAAACAGATACGCAAGGCACTGAAGTATTTTGAAATT